GCACCGCAGGGTGGACAAGCACTGCCAGTGGCCAATCTGTACATTCATGCTCATTCCCAAGTCAGAAATTTGGTTGTAGAAAGGATATCAACAACTGAATACTTGTCAACTGCATTGACAAAATGTGGCGAAATGGCCACTTCTTCTGCAAGACGACTCGTTCCAGTGTTACCTGCAGTTGCCTCACTGCTATGTTCCTTACAATGATAAAAATTGTGGACAATTTAAGAAACATCCCATAAATTGGCATCAATGCCTACATGTTGGGCATGACAACTCGTTTCGCAACTGTCTGAAATGGCTACATCATCCATTACAGACTCTCGTCACTAGGATCGTGGCCCTCACCAATGGTTCTGATCATCCGCGTGCAGGAATGTACTGTGTGCATGCAGAACAGTGAATCCATGAGCACTCATTGATGAATGTAACTTGGCACTGTTGCCCAGGAGACAGAATTGCGCAAACTTCTGACGAACATAACAAGCATGAAATTGGAGGACTTGCAGTACCACCAAAACATCATGCGTTTTCTGCATGAGAGAGTGAAGAAGCTGGAAGGTTGTCTGCTTCATGCTGGACAAGACTCAGAAGTGCAATTCCGGCAAGATACAGAACATGTGGCTCGCCATTTGAAGCTGGCACTGAACATGCTTGTCAAACACCTGAACTTCGATATCAGCGACTTCTACAAGACCGACGAAGCAATTCATTTCGTAGAATTGACTTGTCGAGTTATTGGGGATATTGAATGCCGGCGATGCAGCGAAGATTTTCGGCCTATAGAGTTGCCCGAGGCGCATGTGAAAGAAGACAAGAGAAGTCTGGAAATGTTGCTACACTATATTTTAGATGAGGACAGCGTGCTTGCTGGCAATGAGCTTACTACAAATTTGATCAGCAAGCTTGAAACCTTGAAAATCGCTTTCAGCTCAAGGAAAAAAAACCTTTCCATGATTCCAGACGGTGATATTCACTTGATGGACATTATCACAAGGGCTACGCACCATCGCGGGCTTGTGGTGACCATCCATGCAGCCGAATGGCAGGGGAAGCCCGTGGCGGCAAAAACATTGAAGGCCGATGGTGCCGCCCTAGGGATTAGCGACTTCGCCGAGCTCTATTCAGAGGCTCTGAATCAAGCGGAGCTTGACCCAAAATTTGTCGTGAAGATGCACGGAATCACAAAGTCGGGAACGTTGGTGATGGAGAGGGCTAGTTGCAATTTGATGCAGTGGTACAAATCACTCCCCCAAAATGACAGCCGCCACCAAGTAGCTCTGAAAATGTCGATGTTGGCGCAGGCGGCCAAAGCCTTGCGGTCGGTACACAGGTCCAAGATGGTCCACCGAGATGTCAAGAGCGAAAATTTTCTGGTGTTTGAGGACGGCGAGGGCTCTGTCGTCAAGATCGCGGACTTCGGTTTGGCAATTGCCCGAGATGGGTTGACGTCGAAGACTTTTCGAATCTGTGGGACCGCCAGGTGGATGGCAAGGGAGCTGCATGAAGGCCAGGCGCCCAGCGTCCGCTCCGACGTCTTCAGCTTTGGGGCTGTCATTTATGAGGTGGTGACGGGGAAACTGCCGTATGGTGAAGGGGCGTCCATGGGGGACATTTACTCCGCCGTGCTAGATGGAAGGGAGCCCTGCTACATAAGTCCACAGGTGACGAGGTTGTGGCCTGAAAAGGTTTTGCGCATGATGAAGAGGTGCTGCTCCCATTATCCTAACAAAAGGCCGTCGATGGAGGAGGTCAGCACCATATTTGATTGTCCAATGACGGGCCACAGGCGATGATGCAAACCATGTGATCGACAACTGAATTCCACCATGGTTGACTCAGGTAAAGATCTTGCACTGAACACGCATGCAGCCATGTACAAGTATCTCGATAAAGGATACGATCGCTGGCGACTGCTACAGATTTGATGAAAGTGCACAACCAGATTAACGCCATCAATTTGAGTTTCAAGGCGGAAATGCTCTTCATCCACGCTCAGGGCATGCAAACAGCGGTTCGCATGCATAGTGATAGAGCGGAAGTGGGCCAGTACAAGCAATAGCGGCAGGTGGAGCCTGACACGCTCAGGGAGGAGCAAATGGAGTTAAGGAAGCTGGCCCCCACTGCTGCAGACGCAGGTGCAGATATATTGTCTCAAGTGGCATTGGAGGCGCAGATTTGTGCGGTTGAGCCGCTAGGATGCAGAGGCCATGGCCCTGGTGGTGCCTGCCTGGGAGGCTTACGAAGTTGCACGGATTTTCATTATCGCCCAGGGCCTGGATGTGGATGGTGGTGACGCTTATTCACTGATGAACATTGAAAACTTCCGGAGTGGTGACGCACGCTGGGTCAATGCATGAATTTGCGATGCTATCAGTGTCGCAGTGGCCAGTCCACTTGGTTTTGACGGTGAATTCTGCGGATTTGTGGAGCAGGATTGCAAGTGGATGGTGGGCGTGCACGTGGGTCATATCACCAGAGGCTACCCTGCAGGTAACGATAGATTTGTGAAGTATTGTGCTGATTTAGTTGCCTGCCCAGTTAAATATATTTAGTGCGTTTAGTTGATTTATCTGCCTAAGGACATGTTGGTCGCATTCAATGCATAGATTCCGACCGACCAGGATTGCACAGAGCGTTCTTGTCCAGCCAGTGGTGTTTATTCACTTGATAACAGTTTGGCGAGTGTTCACGCAATCATGCAAGTGTGTTGATTATCGTACGTCTGTAAGCCTGCTTGGACGGCTTACTTGGTACTTGGTGCTTGGCAGTATAACTTGGTGGGTTCAGGGATATTTGAATCATACTTCTAGTTGCGCTGAGCGACTTACTTGTAAGATGTGTGTTTTGACATGAATATATTATTCGTCAAGAGTTTTTCTCTGGGCAGTTGATCATGCGAGCATTTAGAAGAATGTGCCTTTGGCCATGAAAGCTACTCATGGGCAAAACAGTCTTGACCCTACCCCCCCACCAGCCAGGGTGTTCAACAGGAACACCACGGCATGGTCATACATTGTGTTTCGATAAGAGGCCTCCTTGTTGCGCACATCTTTGTTGCTTTACCTACACAGGGTACAACGGGCAATTGATCACCCTCCCACGTGCCTAGGAGCATCCAGAAGCCACCTGCAAACGTCATCCAGACTTTACTTGTACATGTACTTTACTTGATGCAACATTTGCAGTGGGCGTCTGTCATCAAAGTCACGCACATAAACGTTTGGAATGAAGGGGCGCGTGGGACACCACACAGGCGGGTAGACGCCAGGTCCAAGCCGCGGGGCAGAACCGTACCAACACAGCATCGTCGCTCCCTCCGACACGAAGACCAGTACCGGAACCGCGACGCCCATGGACCTACGCCGCCGAAGCCGCGTTCCAGCGAAACTATGACCGTCTTTCGACGATCTGCGATACCGTACTGCGCCCTGGTGTGGCGGCGACCGGTCCGGCGTCCTGCTGCTTCGCCCGGGAACGGTGCGTATGTCTGACGCGCCGCACCAACCAACTAAAGCGCAATGTATTGCGCGTGTGGGGCAAGACTGGGTGAGCTTGACGTTCCCTTTCTCGGGGCCAATAATTAGCGTGCCTGCCGCAGCTTTGGCGCGCCTTTGGTGTTGGGGGACGGTCGCAGAGCCTGGCGGATCGTCCAGGAGCAGGCCTTGGGCGAGCAGAGTGCGGGGCAGTGCCTGTGGGGTCTGTGCTCATTGCCTGCGGTGGATACGCCGTCCAGCGGCGGGTAGGTGAACTGGGGTTCTTTTCTGGTCTGCCAGGCCGTAGGGCGGCCCTTGCTGTGCGGCTACGCGGGTGCTTTCGGAAGCCACGTGAAGCACGAGCGCTCGTGCCAATGCCGTCTCTGTGGTGCGCCGTGGTGAGGATTATTGTGGACACCTAGGTCTGACCACCGTGGCCTGAATGCGGAGCGATGGCCGGACGTCATTGGGGCTGTGGAAACCCCAGTGCCCGTTCGCCGTGTCGCCGACATAATTCCCCCAACGTGCCGCCCGTGGAACACCCAGGTGTTTCACGGACCTGTGATTTGCGTTGTCGGCAGCCGAAAATGTAGTGGAGATGGCAGGGGCGTGTTTCACGTGCGTTGCGAACGCACTTGACTTGCACTCTCCAGCGTCGATGCAATCATCGTCCCCGGCGCGTTCCCGTTGCTTGCTGCAGCGCGGATGCAGCGCGAACAGCGAGTCAACAGTTTGGAGCTGGCTGGTCTGTGCTGGGTATTGGCTGCGCTTGGTGCAATTCGAAGTTTCTGGCTACCTGATTTGTGCAGCATGAAGGCTGGTCCTTCAATCAGTGCTGACGGCTTCCACCATTTGGCTGGCAGGGGTTGGGGCAGCACCGGAGAGCGAGGAGATGCGACTTTCTTAGATTGCCCTGCGTGCGGCAAGGGCAGTGGTCGAGCAGAACATCAGTCGCGGAAAGGTATGTGCAGTTTGACTCGCTTTGTCGGTGATGCTGTGACTGCTCTTCTGACTTGGCCAGTTGCAGCCCGGCAAGGGTGCACCTCGTGTCTGTGCACATTTTGGCAAGCAGTTTTGGCTTCGTGTACGCATCCGAGCTGGAAAGCTACTGATGGTGCTGGAAGGCGCTGCGAAGGGGACAAGAATGTTTACCCCCAAGGGAAGATTTTGGAATCCGCTCCAGAAGAGCGTCCCTTGTTTAAGTTGCAGTTCACGCTGCAAAGCGTTGACAAGAAGGGACAACGCGCCTTCCTTTGTCCAAGTTGTCGTGCATATGCATCCAGTCCCGTAACACACCGGGGAGGGTCGTGTTGTAGACAGGACATTTTCATCCGGTGTTAATGAATTGGCGCCAGATGTCATTGGCTTGGCTTGTCTGTGCCGCGTTGCTCCATCCCACCATGTCCCTTGTTCCATTCCACACATTCGGTGCTATGTGAAGTGGGCTATGTGTAGTCTTCAAGTATTCACTTTCATCGTGTCGTTTTGCTGCATGAATTGATTGTTTGCAATTGTGACTAACAGATGGAGGCAGTAAGAACCATGAAGGCCCTTGAAGAGGCCAAAAGCATGGCTGGACAAATCCAGTTCATTGCGGCAGAATCAAGGACCTACTCAAAGGAATGTCACCTGCTGGCCACTCAGGCAGCATCTCTGCAGTCCATGGTAGTCGTGATAATGGGTGAGGTCAGTAAAGTTCCAAAAGCAAGCGAGGAGGCGAAGGGACAGCTGGAGGCAGCAGTCGTGTGCGTTGGGGCTGCTTTGACGGACACTGGAAAACTCGTGGACGAGGTCAGCAAGTTGAAGTTGCTGCAAAAGTTTTGGACTGGCGGGCAAGTCAAGGAGAGAATTCGCACATTGGGAAATCGTCTCACAGAGGCACAGACAGGTAACATGCCCAGGATACTGTGCCAGATCACATTTACACCTTCATCTCAAGCCCTTCGTCATCATTGCCGTCCCTTGCTGACAGCGGCGGCCACGGGCAACGTTCAAAATATCCGCAGCAGCATGTCGATGATTCGCGCCCATGTTAACGAGCACTAACCTCCACCGCAGTAGGTCAATGATGCCAACGCGTACACAGCTGGCATAGAGACCACGACGGCAGTAAGTCTGCAGTACAACTCGATTGCCTCAGCGAGCACCCGGCATCGTTGTCTGACTACGGTGCGATTGGCAAACAGCCCTGTCCTTGCGTAGTCGCGCCACGACAGCCAGAGGAAGCGGGGCTGTTGCAAAACTTGATCGCCTTGGCTTGGCTCGGCAAGAAATTTCGCTGCGCAGCTGCCGATGAGTACAGGCAACCGAGGCGATACCGGCGATATTGCGTTTGCGCATCCAGAAGGGGTCCGAACGACCACGCACGAGATGTGCTGGAAGGATCGTCTTGTGCGCCCGAATGTTTGAGAAACAATGAGGCGGCGCGGTGTGACGTGTCTCATAGTAGCGTAAGGCCCACGTCGTCCCAAAGTTATACTGCAATAAAGCGGACTCACTCTGTATCTTCATCACCTGCTCAACAGTGATTGTTCACCGTTCGCAATCCATTATTTGCAGCTGACTCCACCGGCCCTTCACAACACCCAGGTTGCGACATAAAGTACGCTGCGTGACCCAAACCTGTTGCGCCTGTTCTGACGCCCATCTTGCATTTCCGTCTGCGCCAGCTTGCTGATGGCTCACTGCCCTGCTGACAAATGCTGGCAATATTCAGGCACTAGTCGTGGTATCATCGTGGTATCTTTGTGCATAATACACAATTTGCTATCACAGTGGGGCTGTCGTTAAAACTCGCCCAGTGCTTCTCCTGTTGGAACTTAACAACTATTTTTCACCAGCTGCATTGCTGCATGGGCGATCCATGGACCTTGCGCAGACTGCTCACCTGCGAACAGCCCATGCTCTTCAACCCATGCAATATGCTCACGTGCGCCAGTTGCCAACGCCGTGGCTGGTCTAGTTACTTTCTTTACATAAACAAGAGTTTCAATTCAGGCTTCGGTCTGTGGCCTATTGAGTGGTTTCGAGAGCGAAAGATAAGCAATGTGCTTTGTTTGCAGAGCTGTTCCTTGCACACACGACAATGCTCAACAGCGCACAGGAAGAGTTGCAGAGGCCTCGTGGGATGACGGGACATCCAGGTGCTTCTTTGACCCGGTCTCCACCTCTCCGGACGTTGAGAGAAGCGCGAAATGACCTGCAGGTGAGGAGACCAGTATTGAGCATATCACGATATGCATCATATATGCAATGAAAATCCATCGGTGATATACTGTGTACACCTTAGGAAACTTGTGTAAAGAAGCAGGCAATACATGTGGTACACCGGCTGCAGAGTATTGAAAAGCAACAAAATACAATATTCCACCCAGTGTGGAAATCAGAATAATTTGTGTAGCACACTTAATTACTGCGTCGTGACAAGTTGTGACAAACTGGACCCCCTGATTCAGAGTATTGAAGAAGAACTAACTATCTCCGTGTTGCTGTGTTTTATTTCGCTGATGGGTTGAAGCGCACAGATGGTTGAAATGTTGTGCATAACTGTACCCTTCAGTCACAGTGCTTAAGGTTCACTTACCAGTCATGCACTGCACGAAAAGTTTGCATTCTGTATCAGCCTTTGCGGCAATTTTGAACTTATAGTTGTTTCTCGTTCAGACCCTGACATCGGAAGATTCGTTCAGCGTGGATGATGATGACGCAAGGGCATACGAAGAAAGCCAACAACTGGACGCAACAAGCGCATCTGATATTCCAGCAACTGCGTTTTCAGGTCCATTATTTCCAGAAGAGGTGAGGTGTGTTGTACTCTCCACATCTTCCTCACCTACACAACGCAGGCTTAGGATCAGATAGCATCCAAGCTTGGACAAACTTTTAGTGGGAGTCGGCTGGCAGTACGTATACGTTACCGATGGTGTGGTGCACCAGGAAAGCAAGGCGAGAGAGCTCGTGAAAGAAATATCGACTATCGAACTAGCGGGCATGATGTATCATCACAAGCTGATGGAAGCTCTGCAGGCGATGATAAAGCGTTGCGAGAATTGCTCTCTGAACATGAACGACATTAGCCTGAGAGAAGAATGGAGAAAAGCGCTTCAGCAGCTTCAGGTGAAGCTGGAGATGGTGAAACGGATGATACATCATCACAGATCTTTCGAACTCGACAATTTTCATCGGACATCATATGTGGTTCACTTCTTGGAGTCCACGTACGATTTTCTTGGCGGGTTTGCTCGGAGGTGGAACCTTGACTGCGCAAGCACAATCGAGCGCCTGGTCCCTGCCAGTTTGTCAGCAGATGTTGAGAGCGACAAGCAAGCACTGAATGGATGCCTGGCCTTCATTTTTGACGATTCCGATCGTCAAACTGGAGCGCTGGGGGACCCGGTGCGAGGTAAGTGGGAGTGCCTCAAGCGCGATTACCAAATGAACAAGACAAAGCTTGCGGTTGTCCCAGAGAGTGAAATCGTTCTTGGACAACAAATCGATGGTTCAGCTTCCATGTCCAGTGGCAGCGGTCGCGTGTATGAAGCCCAATGGAAGGGGATGGCTGTGGCAGTGAAAATTCTGTGCCAATCCGCTGAAATGGACTACGAAGACCTCGCAGAGTTCTATTCAGAGACGTTCAAGCAGGCTTGTCTGGATGAGCGATATGTTGCTAGGGTGCACGGCATCACAAAGAATGGGACTCTGGTGATGGAGCTGGCCGTCGACAGCTTGAGGAATTGGTACCTAAACCATGGCCAAAGCTATCAACATGTGGACTTGAAGAAGAAATTCATGGCGCAAGCCGCGCGGGCTCTACTGCACGTGCACGACAGCGGCATTATCCACAGGGACATTAAGAGCATGAACTTCCTTGTTTGCGACAAGGGCAGGATGGGACTGGTTGTGAAGATCGCCGATTTCGGACTGGCGATCAAACAGAACGTGGAGGGCGAGGCCAGGACGGGGAGAATTTATGGAACAGAGAGGTGGATGGCCAAGGAGGTTCTGTTTGACCATCGGCCTCCGAGCAAAGAGTCCGACGTCTACAGCTTTGGAGCTGTGCTCTACGAGTTGGTGACAAATCAATTGCCATTCGGGGAGCTGGCCTCTCGAGGGGACGTGTATCAAGCAACAATGAAAGGAGAAGAACCCCACTTCATTTGCGCTGAAGTGAGGAAGCAATGGCCTCCAGCATTGCTGGAACTTATGCGGAAATGCTGCTGCTCGTCCCTTCCAGGTGAAAGACCTTCCACCCAGGAGGTCTGCAGCTATCTTATGCAACAGTCCAAAGAGGTGAGAAGCGCAGCAGTGATTTAGCTGCATATGCTTAAAATGCCATCACCAGCGAGCCTGGCAGCAGTAAATGCCTCTCCTGAATGGGTGTCCCAATCTTCAAATATCTTTAACCAAAGCTGGCTTTATAGTTCGGTGACATTGCTCTGTCCTTATCGTGCATTTAGCAAATGCGTTGGTGTGTATACAGGTAACATTCAGGTACAATGTCGGCATGCTCGATTTTCTGCAACGGCAAATCCACACAGTGCACTTATTACTAAGGTCGAAACCCGTGGATCTCCCAGACCGCACCTGGAAAGCGGCGTCTGATGTAATCAAAAATATGGTGGAAAATGGGAACAGCCTGATGCGGCGCCATCAAGTAAAGTTCACGATGAGGAATTTCTATTCCGCCAGCGAGCTTCGGCAGCATGTTGAGGGGGTCTGCAGGGGGATGAAAAGGACTCTGGAAGATTGTGGACTGCATGACACGAACATCCAGGATGTTATTCCTTACGAAGTTGTGGAGGAAGACCGCTCGGCGTTGCGCCAGAAATTACAGTATCTGCTGAATGGGCTGCAATGCGAGTTGGAAGAGGTTGTAGAGGGAGAATGGTGGGAGGCTAAAGTCTACCATGACAGGTTGATCCAGAGCTTTCAGATTGTGAGGGATGAAAGGATAATTTGGGGAAACGAGACATTGGGGGGTGAATATGAAGCAGAGTACTGTGGAATGAAAGTGACCGTTAACCAATTGAAACCGCAGGAAGGAGAGCTGAACATCGAGGAGTACGCGCGGCTGTTCGCGGAGGTGACGTTCATGGGATCATTGCAATTCCCGCACGTCGCACGGCTCTATGGGACGAGCGCAGCGGGCTTCTTGGTGATGGAGCGCGGAGAAATGACTTTAAAGGAATGGAGGGAACGGGTGAACGATGAGGGATTGAAAGTAGATTGGGAACAGAAGGGGAAACTGCTGTACGAAGCGTCACAAGGACTGGAATTCGTTCACGACCAGGGGATCGTGCACCGGCGCCTTGGGAGCCATAGTTTCTGGATATTCCAAAATGATTCCGTGAAGATTGGGGGATTCGGGTCAGCGATCGTTGCGGCAGATTCCACGCCAGTGAGCATCTGGCACCAGATAGGTCCCTATGTTGCACCGGAAATATTCGAAGGTAGGCGTCACGACTTCGTGTCGGACGTTTTCAGTTTCGGTGTGGTTATTCACGAGGTGTGTTGCCTGCAGCAGCCGTATGGGGAAGCAGAAACCGGGTTGTTTTCAGAAAAGGCCCAGGGGCTCCCACCCTGCAGTGTGCCTGACGATTGTCCTCTACTCCTTCGGGAGATCATGGCCGGGTGCTGTGATTTGGATCCCTTTAAAAGGCCGACGATGGCTGAAGTGAGCAAGCGGCTGAAAACATTTGCCGCAGCGGCGCTCAGTTAAAGAGAGTGTGTGTTGGTGCTAGAGGCGCGGTGTTAGAGGCGAATTTGGTGCCCAAGGGCTCGGCGCCCTGTAATGTGCGGCGAGCTGGACAATTCAATAAGCTTGCATGTATCTCAGCGTGACGACCCCACGGCAATCAATGACGTATGTATTGCACGTTGAGATTTTTATGTGGTTCGCTGCAGCGCATGATAGTGAGCTACAGTAGTTTTGATTGGATTTTTGGAGAACGGTATCATAGCAAATAATATCGGGACAGCTATGTGCTATATTTTATTGGAGGAATCGTTTCTGTTGAGCACTTTTGAGGTGGAGATGTTGACTTGCAGGCTGTGTGAATTCGAGATGCGCCAAGGCAGATTGGTTGGATGACGTTCTAAAGAATTAGCCATCATAGCGTGATCAGCCACGTGCTGAATCTTGCCCACAATTGTTTTCTTCAGCCGATATTTGCTCAGAAAAGAATAGTGTTAAAACGCAACGTGCATCCCGGCTGCTCGAGTAGAAAGCAACTCTTGCTAATTGTTCAGAGCTGATGATAACCCAGCCCTTCCAACACGTGACTTGGAGTGTGTCGGCTTGGAAAGCAGGTGGGCACTAAGATAGCGGCCAAAGAGTTGCCGTCAGGTACATTGGCAGGTTTGGTTGTGCTTTCAGGCCGTGATCTAACTTTTCAGTGGTGTTGAAAGGTGTTGAAAGGTGGAAGATGTGGTACAAGGCCTGTGCGCAGATGCATTTGCGCATTACTGCCAGGGCATATTCAGGGATCAGAAGGATTGCATGTTGAGAGTTCAGGTTGCCTAGACTGCGGGCGTTGTTAACGAGGTGTAGAGACAACTGTTGAAGTGGCGCATTTGGCAGGCCAAATGAACATGACATGCTCCACGTCACGGGTCGGCTATCTCGCTGGACCAGTCTTGATCACCTGTCAACATCATCGTTCAAGCCTTTGTGCCCTCTTCCCTATACTGCCTCCAAAGTGGTGCTTGGGCGTTGATGTTTTCCTTTTGAGCCTCAGTGCACCCAACTTGGTAATAATGTAGCAATCTTGCCTGGTGGGCAAGCTTTCATTCTGGCCACCTCATTGCCCTGTTGATGGCTTGGCGGCCAACACAAGCTGTGACGACTCAATTGCCAAGATTGCAGATGGCGTAACTGAGCACACTGATGCCAATTGGCCTCAATGGCAAAAAAGAGATTGATCTTCAGCAGAAAGATTGGTTGATTAAAGGTAAATGTCGAGCTTTGCTTTAAATAGATGAATATTACCTGCTTAGGCGCTGATGCGCTGATTTTGTCTGGCCTCGAGGCCGCCGGTCCTTGGCACTCGCAGTGTCCAGTGGGGAGATGCGGCTCATATCGATCCCACTCTTGCCCAACACGGAATGGTGCAAGCCGGGTGGTCAAGACGCTCATTGGTATGTATCACGTCGGTGGGCCCAGGGATGTGGCCCATGGTCGGCAAGGAAGTAGTTGTATAGTGGACGGATGCAACAGGGTTGGCGTACTATGACAGCATATCTCGCATAAGGACATGACAGAAAATCAGTCATCACAGCAACAAACAGATATTACAAATAGCATGACACATGCCCTTTTGTAATCCTGCCAAGCTAAGAAAACTTCTTGATGTCTACACTACCTGAACAAGGCATGACTCAGCCCCAAGTCCACCCCACGTACCGGAGCCAAGGGGGACCACCCCCAATGGCTATTTCAAAGGCAAAATACTCCACCCCACAATATACAAAAAAGAGAAAGATTCCATATAACAAGGGAAGCCTAAGCATTGGGCTTTTCCCTTGGAAACCTTGAGACCTAGAGTAATCACTTTTTATAATTGCTCAAATTGAGCAGGAAATGGGTCACCCCTTAGATTTTCACAACAATACCTCACCTTAGTTTCGCTCTTGAAATGTGACACCCAACTAGTTCAACATCAATTGTCCCCCACTGGTTGATCCCACTTAATTATGTTAAAGCAGCCTCCATGTGTAGCTGCACATTAGGGCTGATGAGCTGTTGCTCTTGTGCCACTAATATGAGGATCCAAGCCTTCTATTTCCTCGCATAGGTGCTACCGAAGCGAGGCACTTCAATTCAGTGTTTGTGAACAAACAAAGCCGATCGTTAAAGCCAGAATGTCTCCATCAGCCATCCCATCAATGTCTCAATGCTTGTCCACTATCAATCGCCACGTGGCGCAAGGGGTGCTGGGTCGCCTGACGTTATGGCAACATCCCCGTCTCTATTTATAGACCAGCCAGCTATTCCACCGATTTCCAGAATATTCTAAGATCCTTCCCGCTCAGCTGAATGATCCCCAAGCTATCACATCACCCTGACCTCTCCCAAATCTTCTAGATGCCCAAAACCTTCTAGACTTGCATTATGTCATGAGCATGACTACTGCAGCTTCCACGATCAAATCAGCGCCCTCCTGATTCGATTCTATGGCCTCCTATCCAATTGCGGCCGTGCCATACGTCCCGTCGCCCGCCATTCGCCTGAGCCTACCCTTGCTTGCTCCCCCATGCCTCCGTTGTAGGCCCAGGGCTTTGTTCACCCCCCCATCACTGAGCAAGCCTTCACATCTAGGCCGCGCCTAACAGTCCAGCGTCTCTTACATTCATCACAGCCCTTTGTAAGCATGCATATTCCATGCACGGCACGGCAAGCCACTGCCATGTAAGTAGCGCAATGTGGCCCATATGATTCCGCCATCGTCATCGCCATTATCGAGCCTTGGCAGCCACAATTTCACACCCATGTTCGAGTGCACTACTGCATGCCACCACCGCCGTATGTATGGCTCCGAGGCGCCTGCGACTTCATGTCCCAGGTTAACATATGATATCGTATGCCATGATACATGACACATGATGGCAACCACAAACATGCATACAAAGGTACCAAACAACATTTGTACACTTATCCGTTCACTCAATCATCATTATTAGTTGAGCATTGTTGCCCGATTGCACCCCACTATTGTGGCGCTCTTGAAACCATATATTATGCTCAAAATTCTGCTATGAATGGGAGCCATTTTCCAAGCAAAATAATTGTCCCTTTTGTCTTATTCTGTAGCCATCCAGCAGTTGCAGCATGGCCTATATTTTTAGGACCCATCCAGCATTGATCGTATTAGTTTCGGGATGAAGGGGCTATCCTTTCCTATGGATTCTACGTAAAATTCTACATAGAAAAAGGTATACCTTTTTCAAAAGTACCTTTTGCCACACGCCCATCTTTGTGCTGATGTGGCACAATGATTAACAATAAATTTAATAATCATCTTCTTCAACTCCACCTAGGAAGTGAAACTTTCAGTTGGAGCCCAAGAAGCATTATTGATTGACCATTTTTCCACAATATAAAGAAGCCCTTGGTCCTTTTATTGGCATGGGAATCCCATCATTGCTAGCGCAATAATTTGTCCACATTATGTATATAGTCAGCCTTCAGCTTCACTTCCTCATTCTGATCTTTAATAGCAAGATGCTCGCATTTGCTTGTTCGAAAAGTATGGAGCAAATTTAATAAAAATAGTGTGAACTTTCTATATATCAAGTACCTCCAATATGAACATGGCTCCCTCTTGGCCATGTCCAGGTCACTTGGCCCAGGTTCTAGGGCTTCTCTTTTGGAAGCGTGTCTTGCTTTGAGCTGGACGGTGTGTCCTAGGCTCTCTTCGGCATGGGCTTGATGGCCACACTCTTTGCAGTCTTGTCCGAGGTCTGTGCACCATGCTTGAGAAGGCAAGGAGCAAGAATTCTTTAGAACAATCAACTACAATCAGTGCAGTTGCATCGTGCTCTTATATCCATAGCCTACAACCATTAACATTTATTAATATTTATTAACCCCCTTGTCATTAGTGGCCGGGGGCTCCGCCCTTGGACCCCCAACCGATTTTATTTTGGTTCAATTTTGAAGGTGGTTAAGGACCTCACTTTGCTTGGCCCTTAGCCACCATTCTCGATTTCCATAAGGATGTTGTTGTATGGAAAGCTGCTGACCCGGGGGCGGGCGTTCGAATACCTCAAATCCCAGGACCCATCACCAAACCCCAGGCTGGTGAGGCCTGGGGCCACTCGCCGGGAGCCAGTACTGGGGGGTACCCCCAGTACCAATGGCCACCTTACCCGTCCCCAGTATAGCAGGGTATTAACTCTATACTAAGGTGACCGTAGCCCTATTGGGGCTGGTCATCATACCTATGTACCGATACAGTAGTACATCACTTTCCCCCCCCCCCCTTTTGTGTCGCGACCCGTAATATCATTCGCCGTGATAAGCTTCCCACGCACCACCGACGTTGAGCCACAATAATGATTGTGAGGCGTATACTCTAAGAAGCAGAAACACGGAGGAAGGGGCTAACGATGTAAGAGGTAGATCAAATGGTGGTACCAAAGGGAAGAGGGGAGAACGGGTCAGGGGGGGAGAATGCAAGTGAGGCGTGCGATGTGCCAGGGTGAAGATCACCAACCAATGAGGCCCAGCTCTATGGGAAGATGAGGGGTGTGGGTGGGGGTGCGCGAAGCAAAGGCACAAGTGATAACTTGATTGGAGATGGGAAATAATGCAATGGTGCATATATGGAACCCCAAAGCAAAGCATATTAGTAGCAAGTGCCAACATGAAGTTTGGGGCTGCCTAGCCTCTTGTGTGAGGGGCCAAAGAGAATGGCTTGACAAACAATGAAATATTAGGTGGTGGCGCATGGTTTTTCCGTGCGCGCCCCATGCGATGGATCGACGATCCCTCCGGCGGATGGCCAGGCGTAATCGGCACGGTCGCTTGATCTATCTCAACGCGGCGCGGATGTGGTGAGCCCCTTGGCGGAACGGCCTCTCTGGTGCGTCAGTTGGAAGGGCGGATTGGGTCCGGCGTTGCCTTGCGCGTGGTTCGCAGGTAGGCACTGACAACAAAACAGATGTTCGTTACAGGGTTCCCAGTGTCTTGTCCCCGCGGCGCACAGCACGGTTACATAA